AAGCTTGTTGCTGTCCAGTCAAGTCTGACTCCTAGCGATGGTACAGGACAGAGTAGAATTGCCCCGTAGGGTTTCCTAAGCTGTAATCTTTATGGAAGCCAACTATTTCACTAATGGAGTGCTGGTGGGTATGAACTGTTGTACTACCATACTTCTTCTTGTACCATCAAGCTAGTGGAAACAGGGGTTAGGGTCTGATGACTCCACACTTGCTTTCGATGGGATTTTTTGGTAGAATGAGCTGTTCAGTGTAGGGATTCCTTGATTTTCCAAGTCATTATGTACTGAGTCCATTAGCATTATAGTTCCCAAGGGTCCACGTATACAAAATCACACAAACCCCACAAATGTATGAAACGGAACTCTACAAAGCAGTTGTTGGGGAATGGGTAAATGTGTTCATTGGAATCTGGAATCACTGGAGAAGGTTGTAATATGTTGTTCTTAAGTGCTGTCAAGTTGGTTCTGATTCATAACAACCTTGTATAGGGTTTCCCAGGAGTACCTGGTGGGTTTGAACCTTGTGGTTAACAGTCCAGTGCTTATCCTACAGGGCCACACTAGGAGAGGAATCTTTGTAGATTAGGTTAAGTTGGTGCTGTCAAGTTGGTTCCGACTCATAGTGACCCCTACGTACAACAGAATGAAACACCACCTGTCCTGTGCCATCCTCATAATTGCTGAAATGCTTGAGCTCATTGTTGCTGCCACTGTGCCAATCCATCTAGTTGGGGTCTCCCTCTTTTTCACTGACCCTCCACTGTACCAAGCATGATGTCCTTCTCCAGGGATTGGTCTCTGCTGATAATATGTCTGAAGCATGAGAGACAAAGTCTAGCCATTTTGGCTTCTTAGTAGTGTTCTTGTTGTACTTCCTCCAACACAGATTTGTTTGTTCTTCTGGCAGTCCATGGTACTTTTAATATCCATCTCCAACACCATAATTCAAATACATCAGTTCTTGTACAGTCTTCCTTATTCACTGTCCAACTTTCACATGCATATAAGGCTACTGAAATACCATGGTTTGGACCAGGTGCACCTTAGTCCTCAAGATGACATCTTTGCTTTTGAATACCTGAGCAGCAGATTTGCTGTTTGATTTCTTGACTACTGTTCCCAAGAGTGTTGAATCCAAGCAAAGAGGTTTATCTGTGAATCCTAGCAAAACAAAGTCATTGGCAATTTCAGTCTTTTCTCCATTTATCATAATGTTACTTATTGGTCCAGTTGTGAGGATTTTTGTTTTCTTTACACTGAGGTGCAACTCATACCAAAGGTTGTGTTCTTTGATCTTCACGAATAAGTATTTTAAGTCCTCTTCACTTTCAGCAAGCAAGGTTGTATCTTCTGCATAGTTGTTAATGAGTCTTCTCCAATCCTGATCCCAGATTCTTCTTCATATAATCCAGCTTCTCAGATTACTTGCTCAGCATAGATATTGAATAAGTACGGTGAAAGAATGCGACCTGGGTGCACACCTTTCCTGATTTTAAACCATCCAGTGTTCTCTTGTTCTCTTTGAACAACTGCCTCTTGGTCTATGTACAGGTTCCTCATGAACTCAATTAAGTGTTCTGGAATACTCATTCTTAACAATGTTATTATCATGATTCCAAGAGTCAAAAGCCTTTGCAGAGGTAATAAAAGCACAGGTAAACATATTTCTGGTATTCTCTGCTTTCAGCCAAGATCTAGCTGACATCAGCAATGATAACCTTTGTTCTACTTCCTCATCTGAATCTGGCTTGAACCTCTGGTAGGTCGCTGTCAGTGTACTGTTGCAGATGTTTTCGAATTATCGTTAGCAAACTTTTACTTGAATGTGATATTAGTGATATTGTCTGATGATTTCCACCTTCCACTGGATCACCTCTCTTTGGAGTGGGCACAGATGAGTGGGTGTCTCCAGTGCTGCATCAGTTTGTTGAAAGATTTCTAATATGCATTACGTTGAGTCCTGGGAGCCTTGTTTTTTTTTTTTTGCCAATGATTTCAGTGCACCTGGGACATTTCCTTCAGTAATGTTGGCTGTTGACCATATCCTCTTGAAATGGTTGAACATCAACCATTTCTTTTTGGTACAGTGACTCTGTATTCCTTTCATCTTCTTTTGATGCTTTCTCCTCATTAAGTATTTTGCCCAAAGAATCCTTTTCTATTTCAAGTTGAGGCTTAAATTTTTACTCAGTTCTGTCAGCTGGAGAAATGCTGAAAATGTTCTTTCCTTTTGGTTTTCTAACTCCAGATCTTTGCACATTCATCACAATATTTGACTTTGTCTTCTTGAGCTGCCCTTTGAAAATTTCTGTTCACATGGGTCCTTAAAAATCAGAGAATCTTTCCTGGCTCCAGTCAGAGCCAGAGGGAGGTGTGACTACAGAAGACCAGTCAGAGAGATATAATATTGCTAGCTTCAAAATGAAGAAAGGAACATGGGTAGCTTCTAGAGGTTGTAAAGATAAGGAAACAAATTATTCCCTAGAGCTTCCAGAATAGAACACTGTACTGCCTAGTAAGACTCCTGTTTGGATACTATAAGATAATACATTTGTGTTGCTTTAAGCTCCTAAATTTGCTGCAATAGAAAACTAATACAAATTGGACAATAATATAAGGCAGGCATTGCTATTATTGTCATTTACAATTGTTGTTAGGTGCCATCGAATCAGTCCCAACTCATAGCAACCCTATGTACAGTAGAATGAAACACTTCCTGGTCTTGGGACACCCTAACAATTGTTATGTTTGAGCCCATTGTTGCAGACACTGTGTCAATCCATCCCACGGAGGGTCTTCCTCTTTTTTACTGACTCTCTATTTACCAAGTATGATGTCCTTCTCCAGGACTGGTTCTTCCTGATAACATGTCCAAAGAATGTGAGACAAAGTCTCACCATCCTCAATTCTAAGGAGTATTTTGACTGTACTTCCTCCAAGACATGTTTGTTTGTTTTTCTGGTAGTCCTTGGTACTTTCAATATTCTTTGCCAACACCATAATTCAAATGTGTCAATTATTCTTGGCCTTCTTTATTAAATTTTAATGCTGTTATTGTTGTTAGGTGTCATTGAGTTGGTACCAACTCATAGCAACCTAATGCACAATAGAACGAAACACTGCCTGGTCCTGCACCAACCTCACAATTGTTGCAATACTTGAGCTTATTGCTGCTGCCACTGTGCCAATGGAGAAACTAAAATACGGCCGGATTACGTTTTTGCCAAGGTCATACAGCTGTAAAGTGAAGGAGCCAGGGCTCTCAAGTTGAGTCTACCTTCAGAACTCATACTCTTAATTATTATGCAAGCTGGCCTCCACACCTTCCAGGATTTTTGGCGAGACAGAGAATGGAAATAAACTTCAAGTAAAAGTTCACTGAAAAGAATGAGTTATATATACCTCACAGAGACAGTAAAGAGTTCAGTTGACTCAGAAGGAAGTTCAGAGTCCTGGATTAATGGAGACCAGAGAATAGTTGTTCCTTAGGCTAGGTTTGCACTCTGTTCACGACTAATCTTCCTCTGTCACTGCTTTGATCATGACAAACTGGTTTGCTTAGCATCCTACAAACATGTAATTAAACAGGGTTCTTTTCTACACTGGTGCCTTTGCCTAGACACCTTGCTTCTCCTTCCCACAGCTCTGATGTCCATCTCCTCCCAGAAGATCCCATCCCGTCTCACACTATCCCACAGTGACCTGGGGGTACTTGGGTCAAGGACTTGGGCATGAAATCACACATCATCTCCTAGATCTTTCCTATTGTTGTTATGAAGTGCTGTCAAGTCCGTTCTGACTTGTTTTGACCCTGTGTAGGGTTTCCAGGGAACGTGTGGGGAATTTGATGTTACACCTTAGGAGTAACAGTTTAGTGCTTGCTTATTCTACAACAGTATACACTGGGTCACCATCTTTCCAGTAGTGTCTTTTAATTTCTTGTTATCTAGTTTTTGTGGCACTTATAATTCATTTTCAAGTTGACCGACCTCTGTGACTTTCCTGAGGGTAGGGATACAAATCCACCCAGAGCAGACCTGTCATGGTCATCAACTTCTTGGTCCATTCCGAAAATAAACTTTACTACCACACAGTTTTGACTTTATTGAGTACATGTTTGGCTTTCTCTGATTCTCCACCACCAGAATACATTGTTGTTGTAAGGTGTCATCTAGTTGATTTTTCACTCACAGGTGCCCCATGTGACAGAGTTGTTGTTAAAGTATCTTCGAGTCGGTTCCAACTCATATAGACCCTATATAGGATTTCTGCTGTTTCGCATCTTCGGGGGAGCAGAAAGCCTTTGTTCTCCCTCAGAGTGGCTCATGGGCTCGAACCACGGGTCTTGTGGTTCACAGTCCAGATGTGACAGAGTGGAACCACCCAATTCGGTGTCCTTGAGTACATTAAGCTCTATTGTTAAACATTCTCATAGCTTTTATTACATATTATTTGGGGGGTGATTATTCAATTGCTCATGTCTCTTATTACTGTAAGGAACTCTGGTAGCGTAGTGGTTACGAACCGGGCTGCTTATCTCACGGTCAGCAGTTTGAAACTACCAGCCGTCTCTTGGGAGAAAGATGAGGCGTTCTGCTCCTGTAAAGATTTACAGCCTTGGAAACGCTGTACAGGGTCACTATGCACACAACGACAACAACTCATTACTGTGGGGCACTCAACGTGCAGCAGAGGGTCTGGCATATACAAATATACTTTAAAACCAAAAGGCCTGTCAGTAGATGACTAGGAGACTGTGAGAGGTGATACCTTACGGTGATGTTGGTGGGTCCCAGCTCAAAGCCGCTGGCAACACCTTGACCTCTCAGGTGCCAGCCTGGGAACGCCTCCGCGCTGCTACCTCCCTTCCAGCACCAGGAGTCCTCCAGTCCACGTTTCCCTTCCCAGCGCTCCGCGCGCCCCTGCACAGCCTCCTTCGCGCCCCGCCCCAGCCCCGCCCTTCACCCCCCCACCCCCACCGCGCGCTCGCGACACATTCCGCTCGCGCCCTCGCCGAGTCCGCGCGGAGACGCGCCTTGCCGGCTTCTTAGCTTCCAGCCAAGATGGCGGAGTGTGCTGATGGACTGGGCACTGTCCCGGAGCACGAGCGGATATTGCAGGAGATCGAGAGCACCGACACCGCCTGCGTGGGGCCCACCCTCCGGTAAAGCTCTCATTCCCAGGGTCTTCAGGCCGTCGTTGCCGGCTGCTCCTCCGCTGCAGGGAGGGACGTTCACAGGTGGTGCGCGCGGGGGCGCTGCCAGGTTTACAAACCAGGGCCAGGGCCGGTGTGGCTGCTGCACCTGTCGGCTTGGTGGCAGCTCGGAGCGCCTCACACGCAGGAACTGTCACTGCGCGCCGCTGGTGGGTGTGGCTGCCGTGGTGCCTTAGACCCCAGGGGCCGCGGCGCCGCCGCACTTTGACTCTTGGACTAGGGGTCCGGAGGACGTGCCTCCGGCCTGGCCCGCACTGATGGCTTGGCAGCGGGCTTGCCCGGGGCGAAGGTTCCTTGCGGGCAGCCAGCGAGACAGGCGCCGAGGCACGCTCCGATGGAAACCCTGGCGCTCAGGGCTGCAGCAGGCGTGAGAGAATTTAAACTGAGCGGGAAAGGCCAGCACCTTTAAGCCCCTGCACAACCCCGCGTGGGCGAGAAGGGACCGTGGGCTGGTGGGGATGAGCTGAGGCTCGATAACACACTGGTGTAACTGCACAGTGGCTAAGCTACTGAAGACAAGGAGGCTTTCATTTATTCACGAACGTTTCATTAATTTTGCATCAATTTTTCCATGTATTTAAAAAAGGATACCAATCCACCCACCACCTTTAAGAATACAGTGAAAGAATACAGTACTAGGCCATCAATAGTCCATGCCATACCTGCTATCCTAATAGCATATTAGAATGTACATATCCGTTAGGCTAGATTAGGCACGCTCTTCAGGAATGAAAACCAATTGCTGTGCCACCTATTCCAACCCATGCGACCCCACATGTTGCACAGTAGAGCTGCTCCATAAGGTTTTCCTAGCTGTGACCTTGCAGAAGTAGTTTGCCAGGCCTTTCTTACAAGGAACCTTTAGGTGGGTTAGACCCATCAACCTTTCAATGAGTACAGAGTGCTTAACCCTTAGCACGAGTGAGGGAATAGGAGTTTTATCTTTATCAGTGGTAAATGTAATATGATTCATTTAGTCAGGGAAATTGGGGCCGATTTAGTTTTATCAGTAGTTTCTTCAGAATACACACTTCGTAGAAATGGAGCAACGTATGGTTTGAGGCCCTGTGGATATAGTAGTATAAAGTCAAGCCAGTTGAAATTTTATTGTAAATTCACCTTGCCCTGAGAGTCAAGAAGCTGGGTTCTTGTTTTGCCCCAGTTCTGCCACTGATGAAGTGTGCAAAACTGGGCAAAAATAATTTAACCTCTTGTTCTTATTTCCTTATTTGCAGAATAGGGAGTCGAATGTTTTAATGCCCCAAAAGCTTGGATAGCAGAGACCTCATCAATTTGTTCACTGTGTATCCTTAACACCAAGCATGTGTTAGTCACATGATAAATTTTTGTTATATGAAATGCCTGCTTTCAATGATTAGTGCATATCCTAAATTTCCCCACATATTGCTTTCTTTTCATAAAACTGTGTATGTGGTAATGAAAGCAGAAATTATAGATTAAAAGGAAACTTTGTCTCACTGTATGGTGAGATTGAAACTGTATAGGACATAGTACAGTTATCAGAAAAGTCAAATTTTGAAAGTAGTATTGGTTATGAAGGAAGTACTTCATCTTGTGTAAAAGATAAAATTAACTTACACTTGGAAAAAAAATTGAAATAAATTGAGACACTTTTTGGACACCAACATGCTGAAAACCGTTGATCTTCAGTGTGGGTTCTGTATTTTTGAATTTGCATACTCATTAGAGTTTGTAACTCCAAAATAAGTAATTGCTTTTCTTTCATGGTCATGTGTAGAGAGAGCGACACAAATCTGTGTCCATGTGTTTCCAGCAGTCATTGAACAAAGCAATGCCTTTCCTTGTTTCAGTTTCCAGATGGTAAAAAAGTGTCTTTTTTGCTATCTATTTAGTGCCATGTTTTTATCACATTGTTATGCATTTTGTTGCTAATTTTGCTGTTTAAAATGACCTTCATGCATAGTAATGATTGCTATCTAAGCATAAGAAGGCCGTGATGTGCCCTACAGAGAAAATATGTATGTTAAATATGTTAGATATGTTTGGTTCAGTCATGAGTTATCGTTTTGTTGACCTTGAGTATTCAGTGTTAACAAATCAACCACAGAAACAAAACAAGGTTTTGTTAATGCTGGTAAAAATGTTGTGACCAGAGGTTCACAGAAACACAGCCTATGTTTCCCGTGGCTCAGAATTCGCTAGTTCAGTGTTCAAGGTGACTTTATAGAATATAACGAGAATTGACAGTATGTGTTCACAGTGTATCATTCTGTACGCTCTTGGCTGACAATCATGTCACTTACTTCATTGAAATCCAGACTTTTCTTTAGTGACTCTTACTTACACCTGTCATCTCTCATGTATCTAGTTGCTGTTGAGTCATTTATGACTCATAGTAGTCCTAAAGCTCAGAGCCCCATAGGGTTTCAAAGCATTTACGTTCTCCCATGGAGCGGCTGGTGGGTTCGAACTGCTGACGTTTCAATTAGCAGGGAAACACTTAACCATTGTGCCACCCTCTCTTATATAAGCAGACTCTTTTCATACATGTATTTAGTGGTTCTTTCTCTTGAACTTGGTTTGTTATTGTTGTGTGCTGTCACGTTGATTTTAACTCCTAGTGACCCTGTGTAGGGTTTCAGACACTGTACATCTCTATAGGAACAGACACAGGTCACATTGTTCTCCTGTGAAGCGACTGGTGGATTCGAACTGCCGACTATGTGGTTAACAGCCCAATGTGTAATCCACTATCCTACTAGGGCTCTATGCAGTGTTTAAGTTACTACTATTTTCTTCTTCTTATTTTTTTCTAGTTTTATTGAGTAAAATGATTTTAGAAAATCCCTTATGAAAAATTAAAATGTGTCAAGGTAAAATCGTGTGATAGATCATTATGAGCCCCTCATCTAGCTTCTGGGCCCAGTTTTGTTTGATCTTTTCTCCTGTTCACTTTTCCTCATCCTGGATGACTTTTCTAGTGGATCCTAGGTATCAATCATCCTAAAGTATGTTAGTATTAGGGTTATTTTTTGCAACTGTCTCTTAATCTTTTAACTGGCTTGTGTTGTTGTTGTTAGGTGCCATTGAGTTGCTTCTGACTCAGAGTAACCCTACATACAGAAAACAGAAGGAAGTACTGCCTGGTCCTGCGCCATCTTCCTGATAGTTCTGTTTGAGCCCACGACAGTCATGGTGCTAATCCATTTCATTGAGGCTCTTCCTCTTGTTCCCTTATCCTCGGATTTATCAAGTCTGGTGCTTTTCTCCAGGAAGTGGTTCCTCCTCACAACAGGTCCAAAGTATGAGAGATGAAGTCTTGCCGTCTTCACTTTTAAGACACATTCTGGCTGTACTTCTTCCAAGAGAGATTTGTTTGTTCTTAAGGAGCTCTGGTAGCGTAGTGGTTATGAATTGGACTGCGAACCTTAAGGTCAGCAGTTTGAAACTACCAGCTGCTCTGAGGGAGAAAGATGAAGCTTTCTGTTCCTGTAAAGATTTACAGCCTTGGAAACCCTGTACAGGGTCACTATGAGTCAGAACCGACTCGACAGTGTTTAACAACAAATGGCAGATCATGGTACTCTGAATATTCTTCACCAGCACCATATGTATCAATCATCAATTCTCCCCTGGTCTTCCTTATTCGCTGTTCAGCTTTCACATGAATTAACTGAAAATATCATATCTTGGGTTGGGCACACCTTAGTCCTTAAATTGATATTTTTGCTCTTTAACATTTTAAAAGGTCTTTTGTAGCAGATTTGCCCAGTACAATAGGTTGATTGATTTCTTGACAGCTGCTTCCATGAACGTTGATTACGGATCCAAGTAAAATGAAATCCTTGATAACTTCAGTCTTTTCTCCTTTTATCATGATGTGTTTGTTTATTGATCTAGTTGTGAAATTTTTTTTGTTCTTTATATTGAGTTGTAATCCATACCAAATGCTGCAGTCTTTGATCTTCATCAGCAAGTTCCTCAAGTTCTCTTCACATCCAGTAAACAAGATTGTGTCATCTGCGTACTGCAGGTTGTTTATGAGTCTTCCTCCAGTCCTGATGCTATATTCTCACATAGCCAAGCTTCTTGGATTATTTACTCAGCATACAGCTCAAATGATATTGTTAGGTTCCAACTCATGGTGACCCTGTATGTAACAAAATCAAATGCTGGCTGATCCTGTACCATTGATACAGATCGAACAAGTGGGATGAAAGTATGCACCCCCGAGGCACACCTTTACTGATTTAGAACCATGTGGTATCTCCTTGTTCTGTTCAAACGACTGCCTCTTGATCTATCTGCAGGCTCTGCCTGAGGGTTCTGGAATTCCCATTATTTGCTGTGGTATCCATAATTTTTTATGATCCACACAGTCCAGTGCCTTTGCATAGTCAACAAAGCACAACTAAACATCTTTCTGGTATTCTCGGCTTTTAGTCAAGATCCACCTGCTATCCCTCATCCCATGTCCCCTTCTGAATCCAGCGTGAATTTCTGGCAGCTCCTTGTTGGTGAACTGCTGCAACCCTTTATCAATTTTATTTGCATGTGATAAAATTTTATTTGCATGTGATATTAATGATATTGTTGGGCCACTTTTCTATTCTTTAAGGTCACCTTTCTTTGGAGTGAGAACAAATATGGATCACTTCCAACTGGTTTACCAGGTAGCTGTCTTCCAAATTTCTTGGCATAGACTAGTGAGTGCTTCCATCACTGCATTGGTTTGTTGGAACGTTTCAGATAGTATTCTGTCAGTTCCTGGAGCTTGTTTATTTCGCCAATGCCTTCAGTGCAACTGGACTTCTTTTAGTACCTCCAGTTCTTGATCATGTGCTACCTCTTGAAATGGTTGAACACCAATGAATTCTTTTTGGTACAGTGATTCTGTGTATTCCTTCTATCTTCTTTTGATGCTCCTGTGTCATTATTTTACCCATAAAATCCTTCATTATTGTGAA